GACGGTGTAAAGCCTATACTAGTTAGGAAGATTATAGTTTATAGCAACCTGGGGACCCCCCCCCCCCGATTTCAGCTTTTAGATTTTTAAATACCACTGCTCTGCTGTTGAGAAGTGCAATGACACTATAGTGAATATAAACTTCTGTATCAAAACAGTAAGTACATAAATTCCCAAGTGTTTGGGGAGTGTCAGAAAATGACTTTTTTTTAAAGAGATGGCAGTAGCAAACTATGTTTGCTTTGCATAAATCCTGGACAACACGTGACTAGCAATACTGCGCCTGTTTTGCATATACTTTCCCCCTTTATATTATAGACTTTAATGCAATATAAATTCTCATACACAAACCATGCTAGAATTTGTATATTTAATTAAAAGTTTGTGTGTAACTTTTAAAAATGGTGATTTTGTCCTAGATTGCTTTCCTGGTAGTATAAACAATTTTACTGTAGTAAGAAGAGCTTATATTTGTGATATAACGAATATTAGTTTCAGAAACAACAAATTTTAAGTGAGAAGGAAAATGCTACCTGAGCAATATTAGTTGATTAAAAGAAAAAGGCAACAAATTAGTCAAATAATGTCAATTATTAAAATGAATGCACATCAATATATTCTCCAGAATTGTGCAACATAAAATTATAAAGCATAACTACTAGTCATAACTAGACAAAGTAAAAGCAAAACAGTCATTCCCAGGAGGTGTTATCCATGATTTAAAATAGGAATACAGAACAAACCTTTACTTGGTATATGTTCAGAGACATATACTTCTGAGCGTTTAGCTAAAGAGTTATTTTTAGCTAATCAATAACTAAAGTGTATATATTTTTAATACAATATAAGCAATTCTGAATTTCTTTGTTTTAAAAGTATTTTTCTTTTTGTAACTTTCTTCATTATAATGTAAGATTCAAATTAAAATCTAAGATTCATTGTGAATCCAAGTATCCAAGGTCTCCCATATATTAGCAAAAAAGTTGAATTTTAAATGATCAAGCAATATCATTTTACACAAATTATAGAATAGACTCCATTAGATTGTAAGACTAAAAACAGGAAAACTGACACCGTGTGCATAATGGATGTTGTGAATAATCACTATTGTTGGCATTACATTCCTGCAGATAAGACAATACTTAATCATTTAAATCATCTCAGCAATCACTGAACTCAAGAAAAACTTCCTTTGTAAGCATGGAAATGAAAAAAAGACACTGACAAAATTTAAACATAACGTCAATCTGCATTCACTATGGATTGTTGCAAAACAATGTAATACAATGGATCTCTGGGTCATAAAATCTAGAAAAAGAGTCTAGAAATGTGATCCATTTTTAGTTTTCATTTGAATTCCTGTGCTTTTCCTATTAATACAATTGTGGGTTGGATAAACTACCTTATGCTATTAATGATGTATTGTGAGAAATTAAAATACAGAAAAATATGAGTTTAACAACATGTAAAGAAATGATTACCAACACCTTTCTCTCTCCATACCACTTTGTTACAGAGTATGAAACAGCTTGGAATATTTTAAGACAAATACAGAATGCATGGAAAGGAAGGAACTCCACAAATACAAAACATTTTATTGAATGACTTGACCCTGGGAACTCCTTAGTATGTAATGTTCCTTAACCTCCAAATTTCAACAATAACTGAATTTAAAATTATCCTCATTTGATGAGATTGCTTGAAATTCCTGCGACTACAAACACATTTGCTTAATAGCATTCTTCATTGGAAAATGCTAATTCTCTACTAGCTACTAATCGAAAAATGTGCATTAATTTAGTGATACAGCTTTCCTGTCAGTTTGTTAGCTGAACTCCACTGTTCTTAAAATGGAAATCTTGATTTCGGAAAAAAGAAAGAAGTAAGGTCCTTTTGGAGCACAGAATCCTTCTGAGGATTTGGCAAATCTTTATGATAAAGAACTGCTGTGATGTGATCAAGTAGGATAGTGAGGAGTTTAGAAAACCAGATGAAAGAGAAAGCATGAAATGGACAAACTGTCTTTAATTTAAAGTATAATTTTTCATCATGCCTTAAGTTGCTGTTTTTCTTCTTTCTCCTTTATATATGAAGGACCTCTTTTAATTAGGATATTACTAATCAAGTGATATGAATTTCTATGAGCAGTATTATTTTAACAAGTTTCAGTGGGGAAACTACACACCAAATACCCATTGTTAACTCTGTAGTTTTCCAAATGCAATCCCTCCAAGCTAACCAGAGATGCTATTTAAAAGGTTCTGGTATGTTTAATCATTAATAGCAAGAAATCAGAAAACAAAAACAAATAATAGTAAAAGAACAATATTTACATATTCCTAACAAAATAGGTTAAAAGTTTGATAGCAGAAAATCAGTCAGCAACACTGCTTTCTAATTTTCTTGCAAATAGTTTCCTGAATATTTACTTAAGGTAATATGCGCTTTCAGACAATGGATTCTTATTCTACTTCAGTAGACCTAATGTTCTCTCTTAGAGAAAAACTAAGTTCAATTATCTTCTTCTTTCTAGTACTGTAAAACATGTCAAAGTTTTACATCAAAATGTGCTGCTGTTAAATACAATCAAACAATGGAAAATAACTGGTCACGAACCCATTAGGAACTATAGTATGCTAAAGTCTTATAGAAAGTTTGTTTAACTGGTCACTCATTTACAGAAGCCTTTTGTTTTAGAAGTATTTGAACCTTCGTTCAATATATTCTGATTAACTCTAGCCAAACAGGACATGATTAGGCACCCCACTTCTACCAAACAAGGATATTGTCGTGTCTTTCTTTTTTAACAATGTTGTCTCTCTACTACTTTTAAGCTAGTACATTTGAAATTTCTAACAGCAAGTTTCTCACAATCAGGCAAATGCTCTAGCATGCCTGTGTTTTCTGCAGTCAGTACTCACTGGGGGATAAGGAAACATGCTATTCATTCCTTAATCCTTAGTGTTCCTTTCACATGAGGCTGTACAACACAACCCTCTGAGCAAACAATTGAAAATTATGGGAACCTTTTAAACCCATTTATTATACAAAGGCTGAAGTGTATTTTATGGTCATTTTTCATTTTCCAGTTTCATTTTCTCTAATTTTATCATCTGGAAAATACATACAAAAATGGTATGTGTCCTAAAAATTCAACAGCAAATTTATATCTTTGAGTATATATATATATAAAAAAAAACTGACAAGGATGTGTAACTGCACAAACAAGATACTGACAGGAGCACAGCAACTCAAAGTGTAAGGGCACAGATTTTTAAATGCAAGTACTTATTGTAATATATCAAAAGGGGGGAAATGAACCAAATAACACAGCATATGACACTAAGCCTAAGTAATGCTATTATGTGGCATCAGATCAGCTGTTATTTAGTATTGTTCAATTATTTTAGAAAAGACACATCAAAGTTAGAATACATACCTTATATATCATATGTAGGAAACAGGTATTTGTGCATGGATACAGTTTACTTACATTTTAAAGAGAATATATATATATAGTTTGTTTTAATAGACACCAACATTACATGTCTCCTAGCCTAAACCATATACTCAGTTATCAGTTCCTTCTGAACTAAGCAAAGTAAAATGCACAGCCAACAGTACAACTAGCACACACAAGTATACATTTCTATTCACTAAATAAAACTGACATTCTCCAGTTTACATTCATGAATTATTCTGTCAGTAGTAGTACTGAACTGTATTTTCCTTGACAACATAAAATGAGTTTTTAAAAATTCAGCATTTAAAGCAAACAATATGTATTATACAGTGGTTCTGAATCATAAATTTAATAAAACCAATTTGGCTGGTTTATATAAATATGATTTTTAAATGTGGTCAAATTTCTGTGTGAACCATTAATGTTGTTTGCCTATTCAAAATGTTAGATTATATTCTTTAAGTACAACTACTATGTAGAATTGTCTAATGCTTACTGAAATGCATGATACGGTTTCGTATGTGCTAAGTGTACAAGTCCACTATAATAAAACTTCAACTATATCACCATAGGACTCAAGGTAGACCAATAGGCTACACTGTAGCTCACATCACATGAGAATCAGAAATACAACAGTGTAGCTCCACATATAAAGGGGAAAGATGATGACTAAATTCAATTGGTTAACTTCTAAGTCAGCTTATGCAACATCAAGATCACATCAACACCATATACTTCATATTCAAAGCTTAACTGACTTATTTAGATTACAAGACAACATGAAACCTTTGAATAAAAACATCTTCACTTGTACTACAATTCCATTAGCTGTAAAACATTAGAAGCCTATGGAAACTTTCTCTAGGAGAAGCCACTTACAAATAATATACAAACCTGTCTGCACACATTATTTGTGATCTAATTATTCTATCAAAACTTTGGTAGCAACCATATCAAGAATTCCTATATTAGCACAAATGTATTTTGCTCTGGCACCAAACTACTCACTACAGTTAGTATCTAAACAGACTCAAATGAATGGAGTGCTTTGGCTATGCACAAGCTACTAGAATACTTCAGATTTTCTTTAAGAATGAAAATGATATTCTTCAGGATATGATGTTGAAGATACTGTCATTGTTTAACATTATAACATTTATGACATGAAAAGCATCTTGATTAGTATTAATGACGCCCTAAACTATTTTTGTGTAAAATAATAATAGGCTAACTTTGTTTGAAAGGAATTTGGGGAGTTAACGTGCAGAGAAGTTGTTAAGACCTTGTGGACATCATTTACATAGTTAAACATTTGGACATTACTGAAAAATGACATAGCATAAATATTATGGACCTATGTATATTCCTTTAAAATTCCAACCTCCCAAAAAGAGAGGCTTAAATAGAATATTCAAGTAATGTGGCAGGAAAAAAAAACACCTCTAATATAAGATTAGGCCTAAACCAAACAAAAGCAACCCACAACACATTTAATTTTCTCTTCATCCAGTTAGCTGAGGAATAGTATGAATCTTACAAGCCAGTTGATGTTCGCTTTTTCATGCTCCGTCTCTGAGCTAAACTCGAAGCAGCAACAGGCTCTAGGATTGTTTGAAAAGTCTTGGGAGTCAAGGGAGTATATGTTGCAGCCGCTGCTTCCTAAAATAATCACAAAACATTAGAAGTTCAGTAACAATCTCAATAGGAAAAAAGTATATAATAATACAATGCAAGACCTACACCTATGAAATTGATCCCTTTACATTATATAGTTGCTATAGCAAGGACCCAAGTTATAGAACTAGCAGTTGCACATATATGTGAAATTATATATACAAGTATGAATGTATGTATACATGTATCTCAAAGGTTTGAAATACTTACACAGTAAAAGTTATATTTAGCCATAAAAAGAACAAAATTATGTCATTTGCAGGAAAGTGGTAGAGCTGAAAACAGTCATGTTAAACAAAATAACATAGAATCTAAAAATATATGGCATATAATCTTATATATGGCATCTATATTTTATAAAGACAAAGGTTCTATTACTAGTACCAGTGTAGAGCAAGATAAGGGGGATAGGAAACCCAGGTATCAGGAAGCATTAGAGTAAATATGCTCAGAATACATCATATGGATATAAAAAAATATCACCACAAAACCTCTTATTTTGGGAAGTTCATATAAGCTAAAAGATAATTTTATCAGAAAAGACACAGTAAAAAACATTAAAAGTTTGTGAATGTTTATAAAAAATCTATTTTCAAGAAATAGATACTTTAAGAATCAAAACAAAAACAAAACCAAAGAAAAAGAATCATCAGTGGATAATATGAGATACACATTAAGTATGCATTTATTTTACCGGAACAACATGTGATGCATCATTTGTCTTTGGCTGATCCCTTGGCAACTGCTCTCTGTGGGTTATCCAAGAGTGCTTTAATATTTGTTCAGCAGTATAACGCTGATGTGGGTCCATGTGAAGCATATGAGAAAGCAATTCCTAAATGGATACAAAAATTTATATGAAAATATATAATTCACATTTCTTCAAAATATGAAAGTAGCAGTAACTTTAATGTTTTCTTTTATCAATACTTAGGAAAAACAGTATCTTAATGTTGCAGTTAACTCTCTCTCTATGTGTGTGTGTGTGTGTGTGTGTGTGTGTGTGTGTGTGTGACCAATTATATTAAAGTCACCAATTTGAAAGGGAAAAGATGGAGAGAGAAGGGAGTGGTAAGAATGATGTAGATACAGTGCTCATATATGAAATTCTCAAAAAGAATCTAAAGACAAAAGATAATCTTGAAACAGACTTTTCATTATGTAGTAAAGTTTTTATTTTTGTAAATCTGTGTATACCAAATTTCTAGAACTGGGATTTGGTTACTAATGACAGAGGGAAAACCACTTAAGATAGCAGGAGTTTCCCTGAAATGTTTTAAATGGACAAGAAAAGAGCTATAGAAATTTGCTAGAAAGATAGACCCCCAAGATGTAATGGTTTGTATATACAGATAAAACACAAAGGGGAGGTTTCCATGCAGTTAGCTAATCCATTCAGTAAGTAAGAACTTTCTGCATTACATGTTGAGGACAGCGAAATATAAATTCAATGTCAAAAATATTGTTATGATAATGGTCCGGTCACCATTAACTATGAATATCTAATTTTTGTTATAATTAAAACTATGATGGAACATAACTTCATAGTAACATACAAGTTCAACTACACCAAAGCATGTAACACTTTGTGTAAACTATCTCTACTACTTGTAGAAAACAAGTAAAATTCCCTCAACAAGAATTTCCTAATATAGAAAGACATCATTTGTGCAACCTTTCATTACCAAGAACATTGAAACTAAAGATGACAGGTAATAACAACTGATAAAAGACTAAAATTCCTGTATTCTTACAATTCAGTAGGATTACCACAAGTTCAAGGTCAGCCTAGGCTATATGGTAAGTTTGGGACAAGCATTGTTTGACCTTAGTTTTTCAAAAAAGGAAAAAAAAAAACAATCTGTTAAAAATACTTTGGGCTTTAGATAATCGAAACAAACTTGGAATAGAGCAGATGTGGTAAAAATAAACAGAAATTTAATATTTAAAATGAGACATGAGCATATAAAAACAAAAGATAATGAATATTCTAATAAAAAGACTTAAACAGTGAATCAAATAAATTAGTAAGTAACTCATTTGGTTCAGCAAGCCCATTACTACACATATAACTAAAGGAATTAAAATCAGTATGTCAAAGAGATATCTGTACTACAACAGTCACAGTAACACTAATGACAACAGACACAAAATAAAACAACTCACCTGTCAATCAACTATTAAATGGATAAAGAAATATCACATATATAATACATGGTAATGACTGAATGTATGCATGAGTAAATATGTGTATCCATGTACATGAATTTATATATGCACAAGACAGAGCACCATTCAGTCCAAACAGAATGAAATTCTGTAATTTGTGACAACATAGATGGAACTAGAGATCATTATTTTAGTGAAGCAAGCCAGGCATAGCAACACAATTATGACACGATTTCACTCAGTATGTGGAATGTAAGGCAGTCAACCTCATAGAAATGAGAGTAAAATGTGGGTTAGCAGACATGATGGAGTATAGTGGGGAGGGGAGATGAGGAATTTTGATCAGTTACAGTTGGACAGGCTGAAGAATTTCTGGTATGCTAACACAGAGAAGTGTGACTACAGATAGCAACGAACACCTAGAACAGGATTTTTCAATGTTTTGTTTTAAAGGAATGACAGGTGTTTGAGGAGATGGATATGTTTAACCTAATACATGTATTAATACATTATATGTTATGTCATTAATATGAACATGTTTTATGGTTTATGTATAATTTAAATACAAATATAAGGTAGTCATCAATCGCATTATCGGAGAAGGGCATTTAAGTAGTCTCTTAACCACTGCTTAGACTGTTAGTTGGGGTCAAACTCGTAGATCTCTGGACATTTCCTTAGTGCCAGAATTCTCTTTAAACCTATAATGGCTACATCTATTGTGGTATCACTTTTCTTGCTCTCCACCTAGAGCCTTCATCCAGTAGCTGATGGAAGCAGAGTCAGACACCCACAGTTAAACACTGAGCTCTACTCTGGAATCCAGCTGCAGAGAGGGAGGACTGATGAGCAAAGGGGTCAGGACCAGACTGGAGAAACCCACAGGGACAGCTGACCTGGAAAACCAGCATAGGACTATTCTAGACCCCCTGAGCGAGGATGTCAGTTTGGAGGTCTGGACAATCTATGGGGCCTCTGGTAGTGGATCAGTATTTATCCCTAGTATAAGAATGGACTTTGGGAGCCCACTCCACATAGAGGGATACTCTCTAAGCCTAGACACATGGGAGACAGCCTAGTCCATGCTGCAAATGATAAGACAGACTTTGAAGATCCCTTGTGGAAGGCCTCACCCTCCCTGGGGAGCAAAAAGGGGGTGAGGTGGGAGGGGGAGGAGGGGAGGGAGAGGGAACTGGGCTTGACATGTAAAAGAAGTCTGTTTCTAATAAAAATTTAAAAAATAAATACAAATATAAAATAAGCTTGGCCAAGTGTCACATACCTGCAACACCAGCACTTGGAAGGTACAAGTA